AACAAGTGCATCGCTACTAGTAACAAGAAGCTACTAGTAACAAGGTGGATCGCTACTAGGAACAAGTGCATCCCTACTAGTAACAAGAAGCTACTAGTAGAAAGGTGCATCGCTACTAGGAACAAGAAGCTACTAGGAACAAGAAGCTACTAGGGGCTCCTGGCATCGCTACTAGTAACATAGGGAGGAGAATATTGGAAAAAGATCGAAGCTTTTCCTGTTGTCGGCCCAGGCACGAACTCATGCTGCACCAAGTAGTCGGGAGCCTTCTTCCAGTTTGGCACCTCGGACTCAATCAACGGTGCTGTGGTTTCCAAGGAAGGGCAAGGCCACAAGGGAAGATGCAACAAAGCAATGGCAGGTTGACGCTTCTTGCGTCTTCTTGCTACATGCGTTGCTGGATTGTTGGAAGCACATGGAAGACCCACACTGATGAAGCCTACAAACCCCGTCTTGATTTGAATGTGGGCCCATCGAATCCATCGAGCATGGTCGAGTAGAGGATTGCAGGAAGATGCACCAAGCACTTTTTAATGGGACCTCAACTTCTTTCGGGAGTACTTGCCATCACCTTGAGAAAGAGCTGCACGCACAAAGAAAAGAACAAATAGAAAAAGAGAGAGAGAGAGAGAGAGATAAGAAAACAAACAAACAATCTAACTAACCAGCGAACTAACCAACTAACTCACTAACTCAATTGCTCACTAAAGAACTTACCACCAAATGCATATAGCATATGTATCTTGTTGAATGCAAGTGCACTTGCTTTGGGGGTCCGTGACCTGTTCTATTGATTCAACTTCATTCCGCCAAAAAGAACCGACACGAATAGGTCGAGCCCAAAATCGTTTGCAAAAGTCCACGGGTAGACTGGTTTGTTCACTACTAGGGGCTCCTGGCATCGCTACTAGGAACAAGGACGCTACTGGTTTGTTCGCAGCCGTGCAACAGGATTCGTTCTCGTCCTACATAAGAAACACTCTAGCCACTGTGCAATCGGGGAATGTAAGAAGCTACTAGTGGCAAGGTGCACCGCTACTAGTAGCAAGAAACTAGTAACAAGGGCATCGCTATCAGCAACAGGTGCATTGCTACTAGTAGCAAGAAGATCGATTTCTGCACCGTTGATTCGGCCAAAGTGCCTCACCGGGTTTGTCACTGTGAGGACCAAAACGCTTGACAAGGCGCCCGGTGGCTAGGAATGAAGAGCGAGCACCTTGCGGCGAAAGCAAGCAGTAAAACTAAATGCGGAAATCCTAGTAGCGTCCTCTTGCTCCTAGTAGTAAGGCCAGGAGCCCCTAGTAGCGTCCCTGCTCCTGGTCCTAGTAGCGATGCCAGGAGCCCCTAGTAGCTTCTTGTTGGTAGTAAGATGGCCCTGAAGTTTGAGATGCCGATCAGGCAAACCTGTCTACACTTCCTTTCTGCAAAACCCTCTGGTGCCGGGACAACGCTCTCTGGACAAAAATGGCCAGCTCATGGGCATACACCCTTTAGCGAGCGGGCTTTCTCTCTATTCTCAAGAAACATTGGAAAATGTAACAAGAAGCTACTAGGGGATCCTGGCCTGACTACTTGGGGCTCCTGGCATCGCTACTAGTAACAAGAAGCTACTAGGTGGTTGATTTTAGAGGATCAAGCCCGAAGGACCGTAGCCAAGCATCCAAAAAAGGAGCTATGCGTCGCTGTAGCCTGTGAAAAACAACCACCTGGATGCAGGTTACCACCCGGTTTGCATTCTGGTTGCCACTGAAATATAGCTTAAGTGTCCCTATAGATCTAGAAACCAAATCATTAGCGCATGAGCTATCCTGCGTCCTAAGTAGTAGCTACTCAAGCTACTAGCTACCTAGCTACTACCCCTACGGCCTACCCCTCCGGGCTTAAAAAACAAAAAACATGGTTTGCATTCCGGTCGCCCTTGCAGGTTGAAGACGCAGAAGAGTAAGACCAGCGCTCCCCACATCTTCTTCCCGCCTCGGTTGGCCATGTCGGGATGCTCAGAGAGTGGGCCTTTTTACCAACCACCGCGGTGTTCACAGAGAAATCCTTGCAAACACACCAAAATCCTAAAGGAAAATATGCAAAAAAAAAGGACATGCAAGGCCCCCTTTATTTAGGCCACGGACCTTCCCATTTTTAATCTTCCTTAACTTCTTCGCCTACGCCCGTGAGTACTCGTGGCCAATGTGACACCATCATGTGGGTCTATCAAACTGCCTACTTGAGGGCACCATGGTCCAAAATTCCCTAGCTTGCACCCTCTATGTCTTCTTCTTCGGTCGGGAGTGATGACAAACATATGATACTTTTCTTTTCTAGCTGTCCCAAGATGGAACCTTTTAGTCTCAGGGTTCTGTGTTAGGTTGCATATATCTAGGATGTCATTTTCAGTCTTTGGGGCAAGTTCGGCCAGGCTCTGAGCCGGCCAAGTGGCCGCGCGGATTCACTATCCTTGGCGGAGGGTGAACAAGGGATGATTTGTTGAGTGAGAAAGGGGTTGGTGATTCTACCTGAGCAAGGACGCTACTAGTAGCAAAGGGCATCGCTACTAGGAGCAAGGACGCTACTAGGAACGCAGTCCTCAGTAAGCGATGCTCACATCCAAATGGCTTGGAACTTGGGATTGCAGCTCCTAGTAGCGATGCCCTTTGCTCCTAGTAGCTTAGTTGAAAACTGCAAAAGAGGAACGAAATCACCTGATTATTAACGCGGTGAGTGATTGTAGGCTTTTGTCAGGCTACAAGCGTGATGAACACTTGGATTTCTGTGGAGATAAAGCCCCAACACATCGATCGACAACAGATGTCACTAGGTTTGCCTTTCGTCCATCACCCTGCGTCCTCTTCGAAGCAATTGATTTGAAGGGTGTTGGATGAAGGGTCGTGAGAAGGGGCATCTCCCCCTTGATTTAGAGAGCCATGGCAGCCAAGTACGTATATTTGCCAGAACATATTCTTCCAGGACAGTATGAGCGACCGGCAGGCGACAGGGAATATGTTAATGTCATGTGGAAAAGGAGGTCGTTCTCACAAGTATGTAGTCCTGGCGTCGGGTGCATGCTCATCACTGCCAAACAACTCCCTCCAAGGGAAGCAGGCAGGGACTGAACGCTCATTTACGTTGACTCTAAAAGAAACAGGTACCACGCTAGTAGTAACAAGTGCATCGCTAGTAGTAACAGGTGCCTTACTAGTAGTAACAAGAAGCTA